CTCTCTCTCTCTCTCTCTCTCTCTCTCTCTCTCTGGACTCACCTGATCTACACAGACCGTGTACTTTTGCCAGGTCCAGTCCGTATCAGTGGCGCTGGCCTCGGTGGTACTTGTAGGCGCTGCGGTGGTACTTGTAGGCGCTGTTGTGGTACTGGTGGTAGGTGCTGTGGTGGTACTTGTGGTAGGCGCTGCGGGGGTACTTGTGTCCGGCGCGTGCTGGATGCAGCCGCAGTTGCACCTAATGTAGTCCATGGCGCACAAGTTCCTACAGACCTGGTTGTCACAGTTATGGTAACACGGTATCTTCTTACTCGAGCACCCCCTCTCCTGGAAGCACTTGTACCACCGGTCGTGCGAGTCCTCGTCCAGCCCGCCCGTCGGCAGCCCCGCGCAGCCGCATATGCAGTTCTCTTGGCACATCTGCCTGCACTTGCTATCGGTGAATCCGCCCACGATGCACTCCTCGCAGTTCTTTGCAGCGCACTGCAACACGGGGAGGGTCAGTCTGCGGGGCGGGGCGGGGAGGGGAGGGGCGGAGAGGCCTCACGCCTCAGACTCACCTTACGGTCGGCCTGACATTTCCTCCACTCCTCTAACTCCACGGTGGAGCGGCGGCGGCGGCTGGCGACCACCGTCGTGTTGCACGGTCCCAGGTGGGTGGCGGAGAGTCCTGGGGGCAACACGACTCGTTGTAGAATGTAGAACTTGCCTCGCACTGGAACTCCAGGCCGCAGGGACTCACCGGGCAGGCCGGCGCACTGCAGCTCGCACTCGCTGGAGTACGTGCGGCCGTCACTGCCGCACACGGCGGAGTCCTCGGGGGTAGGTGACGACGGGCAGGTGCAGTTCCTGTCCGAGGCCAGGACGACCGGCAGCAGCAGCACGGCGAGCATCATCGTGGACCTCATCGTGCGGAGCACGCGGTGGTGCTGCTGTTGATCTCAGAACTTTACGCCAACAGGAGGTGCTGTCGGTCCGCGTCGCTGCTCACAACTGCCGACCTGCTGGGGCGTGTGCGATATGTGTAGGGAAAATCCCCTCGGCCCTCGGCCGGACGAGGCAAACAAGCGGCCAGGCTGGCGGATCTGCTGCAGCCCGGACCAAACAGTGATAACGGCCCTTATCATATGGAGGTTGAAACTCCAAATAAATAGTTTTGAAAATACTCGCAAGATACTTGCGACATCTCGCGGAAAATTGGCGAGAACTCGCGAAAAAATCGAGAAATACTCGTCTTATACTCGCGGATACTCGCTAATACTCTCGAATACGCGCGGACACTCACGCAACTCGTTGTACGCCCACTTGGAGAGTGGAGGACAAGCATCACTTTGGCTTTGAAAATACCACTCAAATTTCGTTGTCCTTGACGGGGGCCTCGTGGTACACCCTCGTATCTCGCGAACCGTACACCGCAGAGAGAAACGGACTTCGGCGCTGTGTTCAGCAGGTCCCAGGCTGTAGGATGGCATGTGGCGGGATGGTCGTCATGAGGACAAGCACCGGCGTATACCCTGGACCGGCCTGGAAAAGAGCCGCTTGGTACAGGATTCCCAGGAGCCGCCTGGGAAAAGGAAATTACTATTACCAAAACGGCCGCTTCCTGAACGATTCCCAGGTGCCGCTTCAGGCGCGGAAGAGGGGGGGGGGGTGGACTGCGCACTGTGCCTACATACAGGTGTTTTGTAGTACAAATTTCCTACCTTTTAGGCGGCTCACTAGAGACGATAGGGGTGGGGGGGGGGCGATCGCCTTAAACCGTCCCGGCGCCGCTTAGGAATAAATGTGACAGTATGTGGCCTACCTACACCTGGCAGGCGGTAGACTAACGACACTTTTAGGTGTCACCTCTGCGCCGTGCTCTACGCACGTCCTGGATTCCATGAGAGTTGTCATGGTTTCCATGCAATCGGAGCGCACTGTCATGGCAAACAGGACGGATCGGCCGGTCGTCCTGATTTCCGGGACGCCGTCCCGGTTTCCATGATGACTGTCATGGAAAACGTACTGGTTTCCATGCCTCGGAATGGTAGGGTCATGGTTTTTCCAAAACGGCATGGAAACCAGGAAAGGAGTCATGGAAACCAGGACGCCGTTTTTACCGTGGAGTCTCTCTACCCAACCCATCATTTGTTATGGGACAATCAGTCGTGCTCCGAAAACTCAAGTGTCATATAATATCACACTTTTAAGTGTAGTGCCATGGTGTCCTCCTACTGGTTTAAGTGTAGGACCAAGGTGTACTGCAGTTTATAGTGTAGGTGAGGAGGCAATAACTCTGGGAATCATGTGTACACACACACTCCGGCCCGGGAATCAGCGGGAATCAATGAGGATCACGACGGGAATCATGGAATTATGTGCACACTTAAATTTATAGTTATTGCACGAGTGTAGGACTGGACGTGTCCTACAGTTTAAAGTGTAGGAAACCTCTTGTACTACACTTATAGCTGAGGTACAATGGTGCCCTACACTTTTAACTTGGAACACGTCTGTCCTACACTTTAAACTGCAGTGCACATTGGTCCTACACTTAAAAGTGCAGTTAAATCAAAAGAGTTTAAAAAAACATCGTTTTGGGTACTATTTTGCTAACAAGACGAAAATTAAAAAAAACTGTTTTTTACTGTTTTTTACTCGTTTTTTTTACTGGTTTTTTACTTCCACTTCAAAAATACGGTTGTTTTTTTTGTTTTTTTGGGGATCTCTAGGTGGTGCTGGGGGTGCTGAGAAGCGTGTTCGCTGCTGTGGTACTTGTGGTAGGCGCTGCGGTGGTACTTGTAGGCGCTGTGGTGATACTTGTAGGCGCTGTGGTGGTACTTGTAGGCGCTGTGGTGGTACTTGTAGGCGCTGTGGTGGTACTTGTCCTGGTGTCCGCCACGTGCTGGATGCAGCCGCAGCCGCACCTCACCAACTCCATGAGGCACAAGTTCCTACAGAACTCGTTGTCACAGTTCTTCTCACACTCTTCCTCTTTACTCCGGCACTCCCTCTCGCCAGAGCACTTCCACCACCGACCGCTCGTGCGTGTCCCCGTCCAGCCCGCCCGTCGGCAGCCGCATGCAGCCGCACCTGCAGTTCCAGCCGCACAGCGTACTGCAGTTCCAGTCTGCGCCGCACTCTTTGCAGTTCCCTAGAGGCGGCCAGTCGCACTGCAACACGGGAAGGGTCAGTCAGCGGGGCGGGGAGGGGAGGGGCGGCCCCCTCAGGCCTCAGACTCACCTGACGGTCGGCGATACATTTACTCCACTCCGGGAACTCCACGGTGTAGCGGCGGCGGCGGCGGCTGGCGACCACCGTCGTGTTGCACGGCCCGGGGTGGGCGGTGAAGAGTCCTGGGGGCAACACGACTCAATGTAGAGCTGGCCTCGCATTGCAACTCCAGGCAACAGGCAGGGACTCACCGGCGCACTGCAGCTCGCACTCGCTAGAGTAAGTGCGGCCGTCACTGCCGCACACGGCGGAGTCCTCGGGGGAGGACGACGGGCAGGTGCAGTTCCTGTCCGAGGCCAGGGCGAGCGGCAGCAGCAGCACGGCGAGCATCATCGTGGACCTCATCGTGTGGAGAACGCGGTGGTGCTGCTGTTGATCTGAGAACTTTACGCCAACAGGAGGTGCTGTCGGTCCGCGTCGCTGCTGACACCTGCCGACCTGCTGGTGCGTGTGCGATATGTAAAGGCCCCTAGGCTCGTAGTGTGCACCGGAAAGTAATCTCAACAGGAAAATCGAAATGACGCACCCCTACTCGACGTTACTCACCACCGACCCCAGACCCTGGTCACGTCGGGACAGACACGTTTACAGGAATTACGTCCAACAAAATCGCACCACGTCTGCAAATTTAGCTCCAATTATTTGGACGTGAATTGACGCAGGCGTTTGTCAAGCGTCCACACTGTGGACGTACTTCGAAGTCATGCGAGGCTTTGTAAAAGCGCCCCACAAAATCTGGTGTCGCATAAACTCGCGGATACTCGCTAATACTCTGGAATACTCGCGGACACTCACGCAACTCGTTGTACGCCCACTTGGAGAGTGAGGGACCCCTCGGATTATGTAAGACAGTGAGAAAACGACTGGAGTTGTGGTAAAAGAAAATACACCCAAGAAAATTATGTGTACCGAGGAAAAACAAAAAAGAGATATGGCAGGTAAAATATTAAGGAAGTTAAAATCCGAATGCTTTGAATGTGGCATGTCTGCGTGTGTGAACAACAGTGTCCGTACACACAGCCCTGCTCGCTGGCTGTGCCCCAGAGCCTCGCGCCCCGCGCGGCCGAGGGCTGGGGGGGGGGGCACAGACGAGGCACGACAGCATAAAAACATTTGAGCGCGCGTCGCTGCGTCGCTGCGTCGCTGCGTCGCTGCTGAACCCCTGCGCATTCCCTTCCTGCCGTGAGCAAGACGACCTGGGCCCTTCGGAGCAGCAAAAGTCCAGAGATTGTTCCGGTCTTCCCCCCCCCCCCCTCATCTTTTCCCCACGGTCTGGAATGAGGTTTCCGTCAGCGTGTTATGAGCTGGCCATTCATGCTCCACTCTTTGTAATAGCTTGTTGCGATGAGGGAGGGAGGTAGAGAGAGAGAGAGAGAGAGAGAGAGAGAGAGAGGGGGGGG